TAACACTTCCCCTCCGATGGTGCGCTGTGTACACATGTGCAAGCTCGTGGTCTGAGCCGCTCAGGGAGCAATAGGGATGCACAATTAATCGAATCCTTTGCAGAGTAAATATATATAAATGCAAAATGTAAATGATAACTAATAGATTATGATGTATGTTTTATGGATTAAGCCACCTGTTAGTATTAAAAAATAGTTGAAATTGGCCAATGCCATGTAATAATATGAACCTGAATGGGAATAATACTTTTGTTCAATTAGGGTTTTGAATGCAGGACTTTTACTTGTAACAGAGTATTTTCACCCTGTGGTACAAGTACTTTTACATAAGTTAAAGATTTGAGAACGCCTCGACACAACGACCATTTGGAGGCTCGTCGGCTGGATAACTTTGCATCAGAATTATGGCTGCACCGATGTTCAACGCACTCCTTACACGCTGGCCCGGCCGCATCTCGATTCATCACAAACCAAAAGTAATAATATAATGTGACGTCGTTAACGAGATGCGACGCCGGCCCGCTGCTCCTTTTTTCTTTGTTGAGCTACAAGCGGCTCAGAAACTTTACTCAAAAAGTTTCCAGAAAAAAACAAACTTTGTAACACACAAAAGTCTCAACTTCTCACAGTTGAGGCCCACAACGGCCTTCAACCTTCAAAATGCACTTATTGTGAAGCATTATAGTCAGTTTTGACACTGATCCAACTCATTGACAAGTATAAACACATAACTGAGGGTCGATATTAAAGGGCAGGTGAGGAGGATTTAACCCGAGCTCTAATGGCTCTCTAATGTACATTTCACCAGTACGACAGTCCTGTTACACGTCCTGCTGAACAGAAATATCGGTTTTCATTGAAAACTTAATCCTGTAACATGGAACCCCTTTTGTGGAGAGACTTTTTGCATCCGTCGGGTGAGCCCAGCACGCTGATGTCAGACGCCATAATGCTCCATCGTTCCATCCTTCCTCTGGTTGGTGGGTCCGTGTGATGGCCGGCCATTCCTCCTCTCGGCGGTGTATTTATAGCGGAGGCCTGAGAGGAAGGAAGCCGAGCGTCCAAACATCCTGCGCGTAACTCGCTCTCAAAGCTCACGCATGACTTCACCTCAGTGTCACGTCCCAGCAGCCCAGCAGCCCCTCCCCTCCAGGGCCAAAAACTGCTTTTTATTTTGGAGTGTAATTGATCTTGTGTCAGGTCCTCTGTCCTGACACAAGACAACATCTTTACTCTGATTTCTTTCTGGGGAAAAACAAAAAAAAAAAAAGACCAATAGATTTGTTTGGACAAAACGAGAGCATATTAAATTAATATTCCAATATGAATAAGATTCAGACGGCAATGTATTTCACAATATGGCCAAATCACGTATGAAATGATTACACCGACGCTCTCTGTTCCACTGTTGCATCAGACAAAAGCTCCTCGTGTTAATCGATATGATGTATCAAATATATAGATATACTACATTATACTTCTATATCAACACAGATAAGTACTTAATCATATTATATATTTTTTGTTGGTATCATATTACACTTTGCTGAAATTGCAGTACTTCATAGTTTCTATTTTTGTTGTATTCTTAAATTAATGATTTGCTTTTTTTCTTTTCATCTGTACGCATTGTGCTACTGCAACACCTACTGAGGATTAATACAGGTTCATCTTATCACGGTGATATTGGTATTATATTAGCCTATAATACATTTCTAGGTCTTTTTTGACTGTAAAATGTACAAGTTCTTACTTTTCAATATCGAAATCAGCTTTAAAAATTCCGGATTGGTTGAAATGATGTCAACTATGATTTAAATTACAGGAACAACAGGTGAGAGGTGATGAAGGTTGAAGGTCTCACACTGTCTGATCAAGTCGTGACGATTAAACCACAGAGTCTCCTCAGCAAACTTTCTTCACACTCAACCTTTTCTGCAGGGTTTTTTGGATTATAAACTCGGAGTAATCGTTCCCATCTTGTGTGCCAGCTTCCCCGGTTTCCTCTTCCTCCTCCTCCTGCAGAGGATGACCTCAGAGGAAGCGGCACTCTCTCTCGGTCTCAGCTTCAGACACTTGATGACGACACGCAGTCCGTCTGCAGCAGCACATTCAGTCAACATTCAGGATTTACCGCCGAAATTGTTTTTTACAGCTCCGGCTCCATCGCAGCTCTGATCGGCTCAATGGGAAGGAAAATTAAAAATCAAACGATGCTGCAGAGTGGAGGTTTTGGCACAAGTCTCTGCTCTGTGAAGCAAAACTCCATTTTCCTTTCAGTACAAAAGCCCTCAAACAGCCAGGAGACACAGAGGACACTGCGGTGTGATTGGCCGGGAGGTTGTAGTACCGGTTAACGGTGCACAAACGCCACACAGAGCCACCTCTCAACAGCTCATCATCACAGGAAGTGACTCCCCTTATGGATGTTATCGCACCGCAGGTCGGCTGATGACTCTTACTTATGTAATATAACAGAGGGAGCGCTCGTTTTAGAAGAGCGCACTGAGCGTGAACACGCAGCGGAGCAACATTTTGGTCTTCAGTGCAGAAAAGACAAACACTCCTACGCACTCTGTGATAACCTGCAGGCTCATTGCACTGAATGCGTCAACGCCAGACGGGTCCAGTGGAGTCTGAACAAAGTCAGTTTTGAGGAATGTCAGATTTTGCAGTAAATGGCTGGTGAGTCACAGCACTTAAATATGAGTGGAACCAGACGGCAACCTCCAGTTCTACCGAGTGAAACCAATGCTGAAGTGTCTTAAAACTAGCATTCTCTCTACTGACCAGCAGGGGGCGACTCCTCTGGTTGTATAGAAGTCTATGAGAAATGACTCTACTTCTCTCTTGATTTATTACCTCAGTAAACATTGTAAACATGAGTTTATGGTCTCAATCTCTAGTTTCAAGTCTTCTTCAATACAGCATGATGTTTATTTAGTAAATTATGGTCCATTTAGAGTCAAACAGACCATAAAGCAGGGGATGATTTGGGGCGGGGCTTACTGTGATTGACAGGTTGCTGCTGCTACCAGAGACGTATACGGCGTCTCTACGTCACTGCTCCGCATTCCAAATATGGTGACTTCTGTTCATTGGCTGCAAAAAAACCAAGATGGCGACGGCCGTAATCCAAGATGGCGACGGCGAAATCGCCAAACTCGAGGCTTCAAAACAACGGTCCACAAACCAACGGGTGACGTCACGATGACTACGTCCACTTCTTATATACGGTCTATGAGTGAGACAGAGAGTCTCTGTTGTCCACAGACGCTTTATAAATTATAAACACTGTCTGAGATCGGCTGCATTTTGATTTACATGAACTATCAGATCACAGAATAAGTAAAGTAACGTCCCCATGCCGGCTTTGGATTTACCGTTTCTATACTTCTTTGTTTTTGCTAAACTCTTGTAGAGCAGCTCGCGCTTCAATTGAATTAAAAGCTGCTGGTTTGACACATCTGGCTCGTGTGTATAATGACACACAAAAAGGTTTAGCAAGAAAAAAAAAAAAAGCATGATTTTTATAGATCAGTGCCCAAACTACTGCTGACACCAAAAGGGTTTCAAACACTTCCTGGTCCCAGTTTGTTTATTTTGTATGCCAGTGCACGATTTAACTCCATTAGTGGCGTCTTAGCGCACGCTCTTGTTGTCCAGCAAAGGACCATGAAGATATTCACATAATGTGTCTGCGCCACATGTTGAATATCATCAATATCACAACCCTCTTTCCAAGAATTAATCTGATTTTGTATAAGCATTTTCCTCCTGGATGCGCTAATTCTTCAGCTATATATTACATGATAAATATCTTGCAGGCCTGAACCAGAATACATCTAGACCTCATACACAATCTCTATGGCTGGCTCCACAAATACACTTGGTTCGTGACTGAACCTCATCGCGCACTGCATGGAAATACAACGTCCAACCAGCTGCAGACACAGGTTGTCGTTTTCTCTGCGCTGCAGGTAATCGAGCATTTAAGCGAATAAAACAACGTAGGTTTGCTCAGATGTATCAATTATGAACAGAAACTCACACTCGACACCAATGGGGAAGTCTGAAATCTCAGCGCAGATACAGCCTCGGTGAAGACAACATTGACGGAGAACACCCATTTAAATAAAAAGCAATTATATCTGGTCTTGCTCGACATTGGCAATCAAACATCGCTCACAGTATTCAGCGCATGTACTGGGTTTATGCGGGTCTGTGCTTTAATTCGGCATCACAATGCTCTGTGAAGCAGCCTGCACATCAACAAAACTTTACACGTCAGGAGGAATGTGCGTCACTCCTTGTGCAGACCAACGCGCACCGCTAAAGGACGAGGCAAGTAGCGAGGCATCCATAAAAGTGTAATTATTATACATACAATGAGCTGCTTACTGGAGAACACTAACGCCGAATCGAAACGTGGATCGTTTCCACTCAAACTAAGTTGTGTTCGATACTTTACCTTGGAATTGTATTCGCCGATTTGCGATGAAACAATAAACTCCCTAATTTGTCAATGCGGTTTGGTGCGATTTTCTGATCGTTGCGGAGACCACGCTTAGCTTAGCACACACAACAATGGATACACCTGAGAGACATGAGGGTGCTTTACCTGCAGCTCGGCCCGCTCGACCTCCCAGTGCGACTGGTCCACCTCGTAGCGGGCCCACTCGTGCTGGAGAAAGTGTAAAATCCCCGGGATGTTGTACTGAGCCCTGGCCGCCTCTGCGCACTCGACGTCGCCAGTCTGCGGAGCTTTGATATTCCCACCGCCCGGTAAGCCCGAGTTGTTGTTGTTGTTATTGAAGAAGACACCGGGGCCCGCCTGCTCGTCCATGGCCGGACCAGGGCAGTGTGGTTCTTCTGGTTCGGTCCCGGAACACTCAACCGCTTCGGTATAATGTCCTCCTGAAGGAAACCTGATCCATCAACAGTCCTCTACTCTGCTGGCCACCACAACTCCTGTCTGAACCAGCTGTCAGATGATGAGAGGGCCGTGAAGCTACCGGAATCAACACAAACACGACACTTCCGGTTTGGAATTTCAAAATAAAACCGATGTTAATGTACACGTGCAACAAATAAAATAATATATACCAACACGTGCCAATGTAGAAAGAATAATTATGTGTGCCATGTCGAATTTATTATAAAATGTCACACACACACACACACACACACACACACACACACACACACACACACACACACACACACACACACACACACAACTTGACTGCCAAATTCCAAAAACAGACAAAAAACAAATCTCACAGCAAACTTGAAATTAAGCAGGTCTCGAACTTGTTTTAATGATTTATTAATTGTATTGCCATTTTACAATGAATCATTCATTCATAATGACATCATAATTTCAGTATTAAATATGTATATTTTATGATAAGCCATGTCAAACATTTACATGCACACATTTATCTCTAGTTAAGCCTTCGACCGTGTTGGCAAACTTTTACTTTGAAGGCACAATCCTTTCATTACCGGTATCCCGGTGGCTAACTGGAAATCACTTGACACACCTGAGCGGTGACATCAACTCCGTTTAGCCCCTCCCACTATCATACATATTCTCACATGATTGGCTGATCGGATAAATGACACGAAAATGATCCAATTGGAGAAGAGTGCGAGGTGCGTCTCCAAACTAGCGTTACTACGGTTTGTGTGAAGCAAATTCAAGCTTATATAACTCATTACAAATGTAATTTTATCAGCATTTATTTATTTATTAGCTTAGTTAGATCTTCAGAGTTTACGTGAATAAAAAATAAATTCAATTCAATACAATTGCCACCAATGCAACATTATAACGTATCAGTACTGACCCTTGCTTCTTTTATTTTATTTGTATTATTCTTTTTTTCAAAGATATTTTTATTCACTTCCTTCTTTTAATGGTTCATTGTATGCTACAATAAGACACATTGCAAAAAGGAAATAAAAAGAGGCCCATTTGTAATGTTTATTCTGTCATGTTTGGTAAAAGGGGGTCTATATTTAGACCGACATGCTTTTACTTGTAGGCTAAGGTCACTTCTTCCACTATGGCGTATGGGGCAGTGGTGAGTGGCGCTCAGCCCGGCGGCCACCCTCTATATATGTGTGTGTGTGTGTGTGTGTGTGTGGGGGGGGGGGGTCTCTAAACTCTATTAAACCTCGCGGATGATTCCTCCTGCGGCCATGTGCTAATCAGCTGATGCGCCACAGCCGCCTCTCCTCTCTATTTAACTCCTGCTCATTCACACCACAAGTTCAACCAGCTCCGTCGCTCTCTGCCGCCGCTTCCTCCGTCACACACGCGCACTCACTCTCTCTCTCACACACACACACACACACACACACTCACAACACAAGGGTTCAAACACGCATAACATGCCTCCGTTTGACAAAACCCAGGTGCAGAACAAACCGTTCAAACAGAGGAAGAGCTTCGGTAAATGCCTCAAACATGAGTAATGTGATTGGAAACTTAAAAAAACAAATCTGATGTGATCTTTTTTTCTTCCTGTGCAGCTATAAGGAAACAAGAAGTAGCGGGGATCAGGTCGAAGTTCCCCAACAAAATCCCGGTAGGTTTGCGGTGAAGCCTCTCATAATTAACGGTTCAATTCTCATTTTAAAGTGTCCAACAGTTTCACTAACGGATGATGCTCGCAGGTTATAATTGAACGGTACGAGAGGGAGAAGTATCTTCCTCCGCTGGATAAAACCAAGTTTCTGGTGCCCCATGAACTCACCATGACTCAGTTTGTCACCATCATCAGGTAAAGTTCACCTCTCGTGTGTTTACAAGTATAAACGATTATTATGAGAGGTCACGTATGGCACACTTCAAATGTGTTAAAGGATCGAGATTATTGGGAGTCTGACTGTTTGCTGGAGCTGAGATAGAAAACATTAAGTTTATATATTTCAGTGGAGTGGTGGAAAGAAATGCCTGAAAATGATTTCATAAAAACTTTGTTCAACCAAACGCTCCGAAACTCAAAAGATCTTTAGTTTATTATCAAAACACCAAAAAAAAAAAAACAGAAATCTGCACAATTTAGGAGCTGTACTCTGAACCCTTTTAAATTTATTTTTTTTTTTTTTGGAAATGGCTAAAAATAAATCTCTTAAATTTGGCCAGTTTTATTGTGCCAGCTCCAGAATGTATTGTCTGGAAAATGTATTTTCTATCTTTAAAGCTACTTTAGGGGGTAAAGTCTTAAACAAATTATTTTTCAAGAGAAGTTTTTATTTGCTGTAAAAAAAATCAAGGCTGCTAATTCTCACAACTTTTACTGCGTGGAGAAAAATAAAAAATAAAAATTGACTAAAAGGTCTGTTGGAGAGTTCTGCAGGGACTGGTCCATTTTCTAATATAAAAACTTCACCATGTTCCTGAGAAGCTTCTTGTTGGTCATGATTACGCAGCAGAAACGGAGTCGGTCCCCGTTTGTCTTCACACAAACTGTCACTTTGAGTCCTAAAATCTTTTAAACGAGTCAAACAGTCAGTGAGACGCAGAATATTTTAACACGCTTGCTAACTGAAGCCTTCATGGGTCGACATCATGCATTTTTTTTTTTTTGTTTTTTTGCATGAAGTGATCATTCAAAGAACCGCTGTCTACAGAGACCTTAACCTGCTTCAGTTTGGAGGATTGGATTCAGATTCTTGTTTTTAATTAGTTTATTTGATTCTCTTCCACAGTGAATATGATCCGGATGAATGTTGGGGATTATAAATAGTCGTCCTCAGAGTCTTTGAAGCTCTTCAGTTGTGGTGCTTCCTCATTTTGTCCGAGTCATGATTACACAGCAGGAGTCACTTTCCTCTGCTTCAGTAAGAGTCTACTGACACGAGTCAGATGGCTGTTCCAGAATCTGTTATAGCTCGTGGTTCGATTATAGCAATCGAGTAATGCAGCTAAACTGTAATCGTTGTAGTGCCATCGCATAAGTAACAGATCTGAGTGTTTTCATCGAGCATCACACGAGTCCGTGTCCTAAATCAATACGACATGCTAATAGTGCGCTGTTTGTACTTTAAGTGTCTTTTTCTAGCTTCTACTAGGTTTTGTACACGTTTTGTTTTTGATGTGTTCCTGGAGTTTTTAAAGTTGTAGAGCAGTGCCTCATGTCTTTGTGCAATGCATTGTGGGACAGTGCAGGCCCACTTTTTTTTTTTTTTTTTTTTTGAAAATCTGCATACCAACATTCCTGTGTAGGTGTTTGTCACTTCACCAAATGTTCAGAATTTGGTCACAGCCGACGTCTGCGGCCGCAGGAGATGGATAATAAACAATAGTGGATCCACATTTTAGTGCCGAGTCAGCGTCCCACGTGGGAGCTGCAGGTATGCGACGCCGCTAACCGTCTGCAGGACGTCTCCCATTAATGTCCGCTCTTTGTCTTCTGTCCCTCAGGAACAGGATGGCTCTGCTGCCGTCTCAGGCCTTCTACCTGCTCATCAACAACAGCGGGCTGGCCAGCATGTCTCTCACCATGGCGCAGGTGTACAAAGACCACCAGGACGAGGACGGCTTCCTCTACATGACCTACGCCTCGCAGGAGATGTTCGGACACTGACGCCGCGTTTAGATTTTATCAAGTATTCAAATGCTGCAGGCCTCCGTATCTGCTGTAAATATAAAAATATTGTATATATATTTGTTGACATGTTAATTGTGAAAGATGGATTTTAATTAAAGCATGTGGATCCAATAAATCATATGAATAGTGAATTGGTGCCGTCTGATTTCTTCTTTTAAAGAAATGGTTAAGGCCCCAACTTCTCCAGTTGATTACGTCCATCAAGGCATTGCACATTTTCTGGAATTCAGTTTATCTATGAAAATAGTGCATTGTCTTATCAAGTATGAGCTCATTTGCAGACAGTCCCAGAACAGAACTCAACCTTGAACAAGGCCTGCTTCAAAATTCTTGTTTCATGTTCACATTAAAGAGTCGAGGGTTTCTAAAGAGGCCAATTTGAAGATCACTTTGCATCGCTCTATAAATTAAACTGTCAACTATAAATTCACCATGTTTTTAGAGATAAAATGTTGTATAAATCAGGCTGTAATATATGAATAAAACCTGCAGAAAGATGGGAATGAAACTAGGAAGTTAGGTGGATGTCTGATACTGAAGTGGAGATTTCTGAGTCGGAGGAAAAAACTAATTCAGAGAACTACCTTTGACGGTGTTCTAAAATTAGAACTATAGGTGAATAGGGTAAAAGACTAACTAGATATTACCGTGAAACTAACTTGATTACTTTAAGACAATCATTTTTTGCATTACAAGTTTTCTAAAATGAGGTGGCATCTAACATTTGATTATGGAGAAATCTACAGGTGCAGACAAAGTAAAATAAACACCTAAATATGTTTTGAATGTTTCCCCATTGGTCTGAAAGATGTTACGGAAGCAAAAAGATAATGTACCAGCGCATGAAAGAATGTTTTTTCCTGACATGTCTTATCTTTAATAAAGTTCTTTTAGCTGTTTTCAGCAAACCTAGTTTTAGTTGATATACTTTTTTTTTCATGTATGTGTTCCTAACAGCTGTATTGAAAAGATGACCTTTTGTCAAAAAATGATTAAATGAAGGTATAATTCAAATCAGACAAGCATCTGTCATCCACAAAAGCCACAAAGAACTTGTGACCTTAATAATTGTTAAATCAAAGGGCTAGAATGAGTTGACACACCTTCTCTTACTTACTGTATTTGATGAGGAAAAAAAAGTTGGAATGGTTAGTTTAGTCGTACTAATGGAAGAAGTTCTGCAGTGCATTGTGGGACAATGAGTGAAGTGGTGATACTGTGCACAAGGAGGAAGTTTCCCCTCAAGACTTTCTGCCGGAAAGAAAGCAGCATCACTTTAAAGTTTACACAAACTAAGTGGTTACAATAAATGTGACAGGAGTTTTGGATGCCAGCTGATTTCTTTTTCACGTTTTTCACTGAAGCGAACAGGAAATGAATGAATTCAGTCTTCCCATGAAGTGATTCTTTTATTCGGTCTCTGCACTAGATGGCAGCAGCGATCTACTGACTCTCCTTCAGATGCGCCTCCATTCAGATCTCTGAGATGAAATAAACAGACTATTATGGTCTGTTGGAGAACATGATTGATAACGAGGTTTATCTGAGCTGCATCAGCTCTCACTCAGAGGATAAGATGATAAACATCAAATCTCTCTCTCTCTCCATTATCTCCATTATCTTACTGACTGGCTCACATTTGTAGTTTTATTTTGGTGAACATGTTTCGGGGAAGATTGTTTTCTGGTGAACACAAAAATGTTTCTAATTATAAAACCAGACATTAAAAAAAATGCAACAACAGATCTTTTTATTTGATTTTAAAGTAAATGAGATCACACAACGTCCACACGGAGGCGCTCTCTTCTTCATCTGTTCGTGCCGTGATGAAGTCGTTACTTCCTTCTTTACTAGATTTCATTACAGACGTCATTAGAGGAGTTGACGAGAGTGGCTTTCCCCCCCCCCTGGATCTCACTTGTTAGTTTATGCTCCATTAATTGTAATTGAATTAACAAAACTGATTACGTCCACTGAATCTCCACCAGCTGCTTAACCGAGGAGGAAACACAGACTCATCAGTCTGCCATCAGTTTATAGAGAGCAATTCAGACTGAATCCTCTTAAATGATTTCTAATCGGTTCAGATTTTAACATTTGTAAGAAACAACCAATATTTAGGCGCGAAATATCTATATAGATATATAGATATATAGATATATATCTACTGTATATATAAAGTATATTACATTGCCTACACATCTGCAGTTTAAAGTGCTTTTACAGGTGAAGGTGGAGTTCTGTCAAACACATCGTCCAAAACAATAAAAGTGAACAAACTGGGTCAACATTTGAATGTGTCCAATGCTTTGGTTTGTGACCAAATACCTGCAGAACTAATGACGTTCCACAGAACCACAGAACCACAGAAGTGCTACTTTAAGCACTTGTTCTGCAGCTCTGAACACACAAACTATTCGTTTGTTATCTAAACTCCTTTCTGTGCAGATCTCCCGCTTTATGCATTCTTTAAAAAGACACCGAAGCACAATAAAAAGCGAATTGTCTTTTAGTGGTCTTGTGTTATTTTATCAGCAGCGTCAATAATGAAGGAGGAACGCGCGCGGCAGAGCGGATGAACTGACCGACCCGCGTCAGAGGGTTGGTTCAAGTAAAAGCGGTGTTTGGTCTCAGAGAGAAACTCGGTGTGATGGAGTCGGAGGTTCTGCTTAATGTCCCGCAGCTATCAGCCGGTGACCGCGGGCCTCTGGAAAAGCCAATCGCTGCAGTTAATGAAGCCTGTTGTTGTGCAGCTGTAATGGTCCCAGCTTCACACACACTCGTGACGCCTGTCTGAATCCACTCTCGTTTGGGGAATGGGTTTTTGTCTTACTCATCAATTAACAGCGCTGGGGGCCTCTGGAGTTTAGAGTGTAAACTTGTACATTAGAGACTTTTATTCTTTTACTTGAGTTTCCCAAAGTCAGTGAAGCCTGCAGAGGATCAATCTATTACTTTGTAACTGGTAATTAAAAGATTAAAAGATGGAAAGCATATTATCATCAATGAGTTTCATCTCACAACTAAATACATTTACTCAAGTACTACTTACGTACAATTTACTTGAGTATTTCTATTTTATACTACTGTGACTTTACTACATCTCAGATGTACATATTTTACAATTCACCGCATTACATTTATTTGGAACTTCAGTCACTTTGTAGATTAATAATACAAAAATATAATCAACAAATAAATGATGATGCAAGTATTTCTCTGATCTGATCTGAGTACATCTTCCACCACTGCAGGACGTGGTTAGCCTAGCTTAGCATAAAGACTGGAAGCAGGTTAAAACAGCTCCTTCCAAAGTAAAAAGAAAAGAAAAGAAGGACTTACTTACTGGAACTAGTTCTTGTTGAACAACTGTGACTGTGAACGGCTCTCTGAAGTCTTGTCCTCACGGTGAGGTTTGGTATCTTCGAGCTGCACAGACAGACACAATGCAACAACACTGGAAGTCTCCAACACATGTATTGACATTAGAGTCACGTCGTCAGCAGCCCATGAAGACGGTAACAGAAAGTGTGTGAGGAGCATGTTAATACTGCAGCTGTGGACACACACACACACGCACACACACACACATTTTATTTCAGATTCTTATTGTCTTATTTAAGTTTAGTCTTAATCATTTTTTTGTTTTCTGTACAAGTAAAATTTTATTTTTGTAGTTTTTCATCATTTCTATCAGTGATAATAAGATTGTACTGAATACAACCAGTAAGATATACACATACATCTATATATAAATATATATAGTTTAAATATACTGGAAAATCCATAGTATAACACAACAGCATCACACCTGTGGCACTGCAAGTGTCTTCTACAAATTAGTTTTCTACCACACAAAGGTAAGGAGGAAAATGTAGAGGCAGTAAATTGTTGAGTCAAAGTAGAGGCAGCAGACGTGAGAGTTACACCAGCAGAGTCTGCAGAGGTCTGTTTAGTTACAGGGAGGGAAAGTGACTCCGTCCTTATTGATATTCACCCAACACTGAAGCCACACTCCATGAGCCATTTATGGACATAAAATGTCCCATTTAACCTGCGGCTCATTAAAAGTTCATGTGTTCCCTTCACAGCCCTGCAGGAATGAGCTTTAAATATTCATGACACAATCACCTCCACGGAACCAGACTCCGTCCTTGTTTGGCTTCAGTTTTTCGTCCTCCTTGTCATCCTCGTCCTCCTCGTCCTCCTTGTCCGCTTTCATTTCAGTCCTGTCCGTCTGTCCGTCTGTCTGGGTCACAGCAGAGGACAGAAAGTTGTGTTTGGATCCAGTATTGAAACTGTGCATGGCTGTGATAAACAACAACAAACAAACAAAGGACAGAAAGCACACAGGTTGGTGATGGTCCAGTTTTAGTAACAGATTTGTGAGTTTGAAGGTTATTTACACGTCACAGGGGTCTCTAATATTTCCTATGAGACAACATTTTAGTACTACCAAACACATCATCTGTGCACGGCCTTTAAACTGACACAGATGCGTTTACTGATCCGACTCCACTATCAGCAGGACAGCATCATTTGTTTGTGTCTTTCCAGCGTTATGACTAAAGTTTGGTTCGCTTTAGGCACGAAAACATTTTGGTTAGGTGCTCGACAGTCTTTGAGTGTGAAACAGCAATCTCTTGCTACTTATTCCTATTTATTTAAGCATGTTACTGTTTCAGTTATGATGTTATTGCTATACTATTATACTTTCAATGCATCTTCTATAGTAGACCTTAAACACAACAATAATATTCCGATTCAAACATTCTAGGGTTAAGGTGGTGTGTTTGTAATGTTTATACTTTCCTGTGTTATTTGTAACATGTAGTCTCTCTCTATAATGTATTAAATAATGCCTACAGACTGGATCCAGCACCAGAGAGGCAGGTATGCATGCAGAGCTGAGGAGTGTGAGCTGTTCAGGCAGGATGCTCGTACATATTATGCAGCAGGGTGAAGACACACATTCTGAATTTCTACAGTGAATAAAAGACACGAGGAGATATTGCGTTTGGGGATCCTCCCTCAAGAAGAATCTGTAATGTAATTCTACATCATTTTAAACCATTATGATAACGCCCAAAAAGACAAAAAGACAAAACTGGATATAATTATAATAATTATT